ATAAATTACATATATATTATTTTCATAAGTCTGGGGGCAAATCTAAGTTGATAACATGGTGGGTGATATGGAACTTATGAGGCCATAATTGAAATTTGTCAAAAAAATAATAAATTAATAAATGGATGGCAAATAGTAACGGTGTTGGTGTTAGTAACAACGTTAGTAATGGTGTTAGTAACGAACATTAGGTGAGGGAGATAACTAATATGAAAATTGAAAGTAGGGGGAGGATAGTAGTATGTTTTGGGGAGTAGAGGGAGGTCTTTGAATGATTTCAAAGTATAGGGAGAACAATGAACGAAAAAGGAAAGTAGAGGGACTACAGTTGGCTTTAACCCAAAAAAAGAAAGGTAAATTTGTAAATTACTCTTAAAATTTTTATGTTAAAGTAAATTTTTATAAAAAAAATATGGTGAAATAATTTATTACTTTAAATTTTTATTTTTTCTATTAAACAATTACTTTTAAAATTTAACAAAAAGCTAAACATAATCATTAAATTCGGACACAGTTTTTGAAAATGAAAATTTTAAATAGCGAATCGTTTCAACATTTTTTATATTTTGAAAATCTACTTCAACACAATAAATTTGAGGGAAACTTGCACTTTTTGTCAAAAAAAAAACTCTGATTGTTTGGTTGAGGGGAAAATGGATTATAAGGGAATGAAATTTAGATTTTATATTCAATTATAAGGAAATCGAAATTAATATCCAAAATTTATGGTATTATAGAAACTAAGTTCTGTTAATTTCAGTTGAATTGAAAATTTCACTGCACTTTTCAATGGATGAAAATAGTTCCCTTTAAATTAATTCTCCATTTTAAATCTTATAAATAGAGAAATAAAAATTAAAAAAACTTCATTTATAAAGTCACTTGTAAATTGATTTTGAATTAATTAAAGTATAATATACCTTCGAGATAGCAAAAGTTAGGAAAAAAAAAAAAAAAGGTTCTTCCGGTCTTCATTTCACTTAATCTTTAACGGAGAACCGTCCAATTCGCTTAACTGTTGATGGTGGGCTGCGATAGTATAGTGGAGCCTACCCTCCCTCAATAGTCAACTGTTTAACAGCATTCTGGTTTATAAATTTCTTTTTTCTATAGTAGTAGGTTCAACAGGGCTATTGTGCTGGCTTCGTGATTTGACTTTTCGTTAAGTTATGATGTTTGGCTTTCCACTCATTAGTGATTGCCTTTTCAATTTCAACAATGTACTCTTTACATATGGGTCCGCCTGGACGGAATTTGTTGTCTTCTTTCAATGCACGGAATAATCCGTATTAAAAGGACATTAGAATAGTTGAGTATCTCTTACAATGCACTTAAAGCTTACCAATTTTACATTAATATATTGTTTAGTCTCCGTATTCTCGCCTTAATCAGCTGCATATATAATTGTCTTTCTTTATGATGGTCTTCATTTACTTGTTTTCTTTTTCTCTCCAGTGTCTGGACTTTCTGGAACCACAGAGGAGGCTCAAAGTCAGGTCTCTGTTGGAATGGGGTTGCTTGCAGGGTCAACTGTGATGCTTCTCACAGCGATATGGGGTTCCTGTGTAGTTGTTGGCCGGTGTGATATTCGTGATTCAGTTGCAGTTGATGGGACAAATCCAAAAGGTTTTAGCTTGACTGGTGGGTGACATACTCCAAGACAATAGTAAATCTTAATTAATTATCTAATAATAGCATCACAGTACATATTAAAGAACTATCAGTGAAACTTAGACTAAAACTTGAGAATTGTTTTTAATGGGGAAATAAAGATGGATTGGTGGCATTTTCATATTTACTTGTGAAGTGGCAAGGCTTATCACATAGCTTCAGGAGGAGTCTGATATCCACTAGCAGGTAACTCTCTGCTATCAAAGGTGAAAAAGAGATATATATATATATATATATATATATGGTAACAGATGCCCGATCCCACGTGGTTCCTTTGTTCTTGAACTGGTGAAGACATTAACTGATTAAATTTTATGGACAGATCCCTGATCAAAAGCTTGTTCAATTCATTGTAGGTACCGGTGTCAGTACTGACATCTGGACATGCTATACCGCGTGGATAATGGCTATATCAGTTATACCATTTATTGTTGTTGAAGCACCGCAAATTCTCAATTCAACTTCAGGAAGAAATTTAGCTATCTTGATTGCACTTATTTTGTCTGTCTCAATGCTGGTTGCTTATTGTCTTTATCAGGTAATTTTAGATTTTAAGCTGTAATTTACCATCATGCATTGCTATGTGTTGGATATAAGTGGATTTAGGAGGATTTTACAGAGGAAGAGAGGAAGGTTTGGAGACAATGTTTCTTTGAATTGACTTTTTATTGAAAATGAGAACTTACATGGGTATTTATAGGTAAGTCATAAACACTGGTTCTTCCCTCCAGATTAACTCCTATACATGAATCCCATTCTCCTAGATACATTATTATAAAGATTATTCCTACCAAATACATGAACTGAGTATTAAAGCCATGTTTACCCTTTCAACACCCACCTTTAAACATGACTTCTGCCAACTCTGAGAAAGCTTCTAAATTTCTTAAAATCATCAAACTTGAGATCCTTCGTAAGGATGTCTGCCATCTGATCATGAGATTTCACAAAAGTTAGCTGCATTACTTTGTCTTCGACACTCTAGCGTACATAATGATACCTGGTGTTTTTGAGGACTCAATCTCCAAAGGTGATGTTGCCGCCAACTTTCTCATCAAGCTTCACAAATAATTCTTTGTTTCCACACATGTGGTTGCTTGCTCCAAGTTACCAAGCGTGCTTTTCTTCATTCTTCATTTCTTTGCTGGCCAACAAGAGAGTTGTCTCCACCTCTTCATTAACTTCCTTATCTCCATCTTGAGAGAAATTAGCTTTCACATCATTGTTGCCAAATCTGCATTCTCATGAAAAATGCCCAAATTTTTGCCCAAATTTTTGACAAGTGTAGCACTTAATTTGGGATTTGTCATACCTCTTCTGATATGGCTTTGATCCTCCTCTGCCATGGTCTCTCGAAGAGGTGAACTGAGAATTTTCATCTTTGCTTTGGTTAGTATTTTGGGGCACTTCTTCCTCCTCTTCCAAGTCCTCGACCACGACCGCGTCCATGGCCTCAACGTCGTCCTCCTTGACTCGTGCCTCCTTTTTGTTCTCTATCATCCACAGAAAGTTTTGATTGTAGAACCTGCTGCACAAGCTCTTTCTTTTTTCTATTAAGCTTCTCCTCATGTGCTTCTAGCAACCCGCTTAACTCATTGATAGTCATGTCTTCCAAGTCTTCTGATTCTTCAATGGCTGTTACCACATAATCAAATTTCTCAGTAACCGATCTAAGAATTTTTTCAATAATCCTTAAATCAGTCACCTCTTCATCAAGCCGTCTCATCTAGTTGGCAATCCCCATGACCCTTGAAGTATAATCTGGCACCTTTTCTGTCTCCTTCATTTGGACTGTTCAAATTCACCTCTCAAACTTCTTTGCCTTGTCTTTTCCTTTACATGCAGCTTGAAGCATCTCCCACAACTGCTTTGGTGTTCTGGCATTAGAAACCTTCTTAAAGGTAACTTCATCCAATGCTTGGTGAATGAGAGAGATGGCCTTCTGATCCTTTTTCTTGGTGCAATTAAACTGATCTTTTTGTGCTTGTGTAAGAGCACTTATGTCTTGAGAAGCATCATATCCATTCTCAACAATTTCCCACACATCATGTGCACTGAATATTGCCTTCATTCGGATGCACCAATTGTCAAACTTTTCTTTTGAGAATTTTGAAACCTGTAATGAAAACAGATTCCTACCAAATTCATGAACTGAGTATTAAAGGCATGTTTATCCTTTCAACACTATGAACATCTTTTTTTTCTAATTAGTTGAACAATTCATTAGATTGCCTCTTAGTTATTAATTTATACATTAGCCTTATCAAGTATTATATATATAAGTAATGTGGGTAGAAGAAATTTTATCATTTGAGTTTTGTTGACATATCCACGAAAACATGGTCCTCAATTGAAATTATTGGGGAAAATTGGATTAGTGTAGCTTGTCCCAGGTGGATTGGAACTAATCATACTTGAGTTCAGTAGGTGATGGCTGAGATAATACACATTATGATGTGGATTGTTCTTTGCATGTTGGTATTCAACATTCAGGAGGATAAGGATTGTTGCTTAACGTGTTTTACTTTAGTGATTGGTGTATAAGGTGACTAGAGCTTTTAGACTTTGTGATTTCTTTGAAAAAGAAGTTTATCACTAAGATCTATAAGATGTTTGTAGTTATTTTGTATCATGTGGGTAGTCTTCTTGAATTTTTCTTCTATTTCTATTTCACTGGTTAAGTTCCTTTAAGCCTTTTCATTGATGCTTGATCCTTTATTTATTTATTTATTTTTATCTTGGGTTGTATGATAGGAGGCAACTCCCTTAAATACCTTAACTCACCTCACGCACATGTCATGTGACTTGAATTCAAAATTTTTTACTTCCATTTAAAGAAGATTACGACTAAACTATTTAGATCATTGACAATACTTGACTCTTCTTTCATTCTTTGTTATGCATGCATTGTGCAGGTCTTTCAGCCTTGGATCCAGCAGAGACGAATAGATTATGTAAAGCACAAGCATGTGATATCGGGAATCCTACAAAACTTGAAACAGCGTGCTCTAGGAAGTCTACTGAGTGATGAGGGGGAACCTGATGTAGCTGTCATAAAAAAGTCAGTTTTGCACTTTTGCATAAAAGGACATTCTTTCTATGATTTCCCCCTGCAAGTAAAGAAGTTGCTAATTTTGCTAATCAACTTTATGACAGGTTGTTCCATGCAATTGATGAGAATCATGATGATCACCTTTCATTTAGTGAACTAAAAGCACTTGTTTTGGGAATCCGGTTTGAGGAGATAAACTTGGATAGAGATGATGCTGTAGAAAAAATTATGAAAGATTTTGATAGCTCCAATGACTACCGTATTAGTAAGGATGAGTTCATAGTTGGTATTTCAAAGTGGCTTAATGAGGCAAAGCGAGTTGGGGGCTCTTCAACTGATCCTGGGCCTCGAACATCCAAGTTTATAGAAGGTTTTCAGGAGGTAAGTTGAAAACTGATGATTATCTGGGGGTTTTACTTTAATCGGCTGACATCTTGTAAATTCATGAGCAGCAAACTAAGAGAGAACATTACCTGTTGGGTGCTGATGGGGAACGAAGTGATAAGGTTGCTGGGGATGTTGAAAATCCTAGGTGGACCTCCTTCAAAGCAGTACTAATGCTGTTGCTGGGAACTCTTATTGCTGCTGCATTTGCTGATCCACTCGTAGATGCCGTTGATAATTTTTCAGATGCAACAAGCATTCCGACATTCTTCATCTCGTTTATTGCATTGCCATTGGCTACAAACGCTAGGGAAATTGTATCGGTAATTATTTCGGCCAGTCGTAAAAAGCGGAAAACGGCTTCCTTGACATTTTCTGAGGTCTGCCTCTTGTTACTTTCGTTATTTTTGTTCGACCTATTCCTTTTGGTAATGGATTACCAGGTTCGTCTACATTATTTTTGATTTCTCAAAAGCCGTAAGTGTAATTCTAAGATCGCATCTCCTATTTCTTGATGCAGCTTTACGGAGCAGTAACCATGAACAACCTCCTTTGCCTGTCAGTTTTCTTAGCACTAGTCTATATCAGGGGATTGACATGGGACTTCTCGTCTGAGGTGCTGGTTATTCTTATTGTTTGTCTTCTGGTGAGTGCCTTTGCCAGTTTCCGCACCACATTCCCTCTCTGGACAAGTTCAGTGGCTTTTATCCTCTACCCTTTCTCCCTGGCACTGGTTTATGTTCTCAATTATGTCTTTGGTTGGTCATAAACGAATGTTTTTAAACTCAAGCTGGAGGGCAATCCTTAGACCTTTGGTTCTAATTGAACCGGTTAGATCTGTTAAACTATATGGTTTAACCCGATGATGTTATAAATAATCTTTTGTAAATTATATGTAATAAATAACATGTTATATAAAGTAAGCACAATCAGTGGCTGGATGATTAGGACACTTTAATTATTGATGGATTGAGAGTTTGAGATACTATGCAAAACATACCATCCATGTGGCGAAGAACAAACACAGATTCAGAGACAAAGCCAGGTTCTTTTTGTGATTTCCTAAACTTGGGTTGTAAACCCAGATCCAGAAAACATTGGTATTCCAAGAAACAAAAATTTGAGACCAAGAAATTGAAGGATGATAACAAGAGAGCAAAATCTTTGATGAATTACGAGAACCACAGTTGAAAATAGATACCCCAAATCTCGCAGGTTTTTGGAGTCAAGAGAACAAACCCAGGAGCCTAGCCAAAATTTTCGACCCAGGAAAGCAATTTGAGGGAAGAGAAAGTAGTTGAGAAAGTTTCAGATTTTTCTCAAAATCTCTGTTTGTTTGACGGACGTCTCAGATCAAAATATATACTAAAAACTGAAACTGCTTTTGTCTCCTCCCTTTTTTGCTTTGTTTACGAAGTCAAAACCATGCAAATCTATCAAAATCATTTTCTCTACCATTTCTCGCCCAAATCCTCGCTTCAATTCTTCCCCTTTTACTCCTAGACCGACTCTCCCTCACTTTCCCTCACTCTCTCTCTTTCTTGGAGATTTTCTCTCTCTCGAATTTTATAATATTCTTCTACTTCAGAGCTCCAAATGGAGCTAACTGACAATGTACGGAGGCAATATTACCTTGTTTGTTTGGTTTTGGCGTAATTTTCAGTTTTTGGAACCCGAAGGTGGGGCACACAAATTGTTCTCCACCGCATACATGGAATTTATCACCTAGTTGCCTCTTTTTTCATGGTACAATTTTGCGTTTATCTCACTTTCAATCCTTGCTTTGGTTTTGGCCAAAGGCAATAATGCAGCTCCTTCCTCCCAATTTGTACATCTTTAGGTCCTTTTTCAGAATTGAGATTTTGAAAGTCTATCTACTTCTGGACTCAAACCAATATGAATCAAGTTTCTCAAAATAATGAAGTTGCTTTGAGGCGGTGAGAAGAGACTAAAATAAGGAAAGGGATATATGTCTCCTTTTGTGTGGTTTGATGCACTAAAAAGATTGAAATGCCTTTGTTATTGTTTTCGATAAATAGATTATTTTACGAATCAAACCCTATTGAACAAGATAGCAGAAGGGCTTGAGATTTGTAACTTTGAGATCTTGTTTATGCCAATAAGCAATGCCATCTCTACCTTTCCAAACTTGTCCCACCTTGCCCACAACAAACCATCCATGACACATTCTAACATTTTTTTTGTCTTAACAAACTCAACCGTATCCACAGTGGGGTCTCCCACATGACACCATCCAACAAAAGATGCCAAGATTTTGTTAGATATACAAAATGGAAGGACCCCATCTGTCACTAAATTCTCTTTTACCATTCTGTCTACTTGTTTTTTCACTCTCTCTTGCATTCATTGTTATCTTGATGGAAACAGCAACTGTGTGACCTTGGAGTACTTTTATAGCAATAATAATTTTAGAGGATGAGGGCTTAAAACCTAAGCAAGATGTTAATGTGGTCTCATATTTTGATTGTGATACTGCTAGTTAATATCAATGTATGTCATGCAATGGTTTCTTCATGGATTTTAACATGGTAATCTCTGGATCTGAAAGTGCTCACGATTATTAATTATCTCATGTTACAATTACTTTCTACTGAATTTGCAGTTGTACAAAAATAACAAAGATGATTTTGTTATGTCAATTTTCAGCTATTATAAACTAAAATAGCTTAGTGCTAATCTTTTTTCAGAATAAGTAAAAGTTTATGGGTTTTAGTCTCATAACATTCATCATACAATGAATGAATGAATTAAAAGATAAATACATATATATATATATATATATCTTTCATTGTATAACCTACCAACATAAAATAAGGAAAAAAAAAAAAAGATCGTTTTGTTGTTTTGGGTCAATCTGGGAATTTGGTACTTCGGTAAGTAGTGGGTGAACTAGGGATGCTGTTTTAGACTATGGGCCTTGGCTTAGTCCCGAGTTATTGGGTAAATCTTGCCATTTGGGTCTTTAACCAAGGCCTGAAGAAGAAGATATTGGATTTAAAGAGTCTGGGTGATGCTGTTGTTGATTATGGGTCAAGCAGATATTACTGTTTTTGACTGGGTGATGCTGTTTTTCAGTATGGGCCTTGGCTCACAAAACAGAAAACACCAGTCTTTTTAACTCATGTTGTTACTTGTTAGAATTTGTTATTAATAATAGAGAATTTTTGTAAACTTATATCTATAAATTCAACATTTTTATAAAAAAAGAAAAATTTATCCTATAGCTTAGTTAATTAGAGTAAGAAAGAAAAGAGTTCAGTCTCTATGGAATCAAATTTTCACTTTTTGCATTTTCAACTACAACAAAAAAAAGCAATTAAAAATTTAAAACCAATAGTCCCATTGTACCAAATCTTCTCACCATCCTCCACCAAAGGGACCCAGAGATTCTTTATTTTATGATATGAAAATGGTGACATTTTAAATCCTGATTCTTCAATCCAACCTTACTGGACATTGACTCTTGATCCTCCAGAAAGATCAAAAAGCAGTATGATCCTAGTTGAGTTGTCAAGGTTAAACAATATGAACCATTCACCTTCTCAACAATCTCTCTTTTTTCTTCTAGATGTTTTGCATCTTCTTGGATTCTTCCACAACTTCTTATCTCCTTTTTCCCTGCCCCACAACTTCTTAACATTTTTAGTACCGCATGAACATGCTTGTGCGGAAAAGCGCAGTAAAAGCAATCCCAAACGCACTAAGCACTAATGTAATTAGCATGGATTTTCTGGTGCCAAGTTTATGTTAGCTGCTATTAGGATTCAGACAGCTTTCCGAGCATACATGGGGCAATTTGTCCCTGAATTACAAATTATGTAAACTAAAATAATTTCTGCTGCTTATCCCAACTGGTAATATCTTAACATCTTGTCTTTTCAGGCAAGGAGGGCATCTAGGAGACTGAAGGCTCTAAGGAAGTTCAATGTGTTGATCCAGAGGCATCCAATTGAGAAGCAAAAATCTTCAACTTTAAGGTACTTGCATTCATGGTACAATATTCAGTCCCAGATCAGAGCTTGCCGGCTGTGTATGGTCACAGAAGGCTGGACTACGTAAAGGAAATTGGAAAATCAAATGAAACTGGATGCTAAGCCTAATGAGCTGGAGGTATTTATGATCACCTACAATTGTGCCCCCTTGACTTCGGCAGCGTATTTTTGTTTGGATTACTAGAAACTGAATGAAAAGTTTCAATCTTCAGG